GCCGATACAGGGTTTCGATTTATTTACGAAACTAATCTGACCAGTTGCTGCATTCTTTGACACTAATTTTCAAGAAAATAAAACTGTATTTCATTTAATTTGAGAGACACGTGGCTGAATATTAACATACGTTCATTATTTAATTACTCGCGATAAATACACTTTTTGTAAGTAAATAACGTGTAAGTAAATTCATATGTAAAAATTTACCAATTTCCAGAAAGTAATTGTTCATGCGTATTAAAATTCTTACAATAGGCAGTAAAACTATTCATACTCCCATATAAATTATAAATATGTAAATGTTAATAAAAGCTGTGTATATATTCTCCCACATGTAGATTTGATAAACTATTTATGAAACTACATTTATTCTGAATTTATCTGTTATAAATATACAAATGTAAGGCAAGATATAAAAACGAATAAAACAGGAACATGTAAAAAGTAACATTAATGAAATGTCCATTAACGATGTATTTAGAATAAATTGTCTTGTAGTTAAATGAAAAAATATATACTTTCCGTTTCATGTTTCATGACTGTAAGACGATGTTCATGTTTTATTAAACTGAAGCATCGGATATTTTTATTCCCGTCAAATCATATAGATACACGTAATATGAATGGAATATATAACACTTCATTTGTGCTAAGAATACTCAGAATTTATGCTTTATCGGTAACGTCGGGTATTGACATAAAAATGGTAAGGGGGCTTCTGACGCCCTCGAAGTATGGGGCAGAAAATTGCATTGCATGTCAGGTCTATTCTTATGTCTCGTCTGTGATTGTACATATGTACATATTTTAAAGACTATCTCTTCTTTATCGGTACCAAGGTTGATACGTAGTTAATAGAGTATCCGTCTGATCGCGTTTTGTTTCTACTGTTTATTAATTGTTTACAATAACTTTAGTATTATCGGGGGTTTACATGTAAAGTTTAAGAATGTTAGTAATTAAATCTGTGATATGTAGTCGAAGTTAATGTAAGTCAAGGGTTATTTGGGAATATATTTGTATGAATTTTGTACATACATACTATTTCATTAAGAAAATATGTCAAAAGCAAGAAGAGCTGTACATAGCAGTGAGGTAATTGACTTCTTTCTTTTTGTTAAAATTCTTTATAAACTTAATGTGCTGAGAAATAAAAGAAAGTTAGCAATATATCATTTATTTTGAATGATGGGATAAAATGAAATTATAGGATGCCAGTAGTTCTTCTGGTACATCCTCGTCACTATCATCAGATGAGGAAGTAGACATGCGAGATCTCAAACCTATTAAAGAATATTTATCAGACCGTCGAGAACTAGCTCGCCAACTTTTTAAGTCTGTTAAAACAGAAAAAATACAAATGATGTTACCACAAGTGTTAAGGGTAAGCATAATACAAAATTAACTCATTTAGTAAGGTAATTATTCAGAGTTTATAGTTATCTGTTATCTTAGTGAAAAGAACATTTATATAAATCATTATATAATTGTTCATTTTAGAAAATAGATATGGGGCATTTAGAGGAATGGTGCGCAAATGAATTAAGTGGTATGTCTAAAGCACGTATCCTAAGTATTTTAAATGGGAAAGCAATGGTAGAATCGTCAGATACAACTGACTCAGATGATTCAGGTATGTTGAAAGTTAAAAAAACAAGAAGATTATAGATAGAAATATAGAGAATTACTTATGTATGTACATATTATTATGATAATAGGACCATCATTAACAATTATCTCAGACACTGAGGAATGGTTTACTGATGAGGATTTAATTAAAAAGGAAGAGAGTTCAGAGTCTCTTAAAGGAAAGGTGACTAAAGATCGACTTAAACAAAAAGGAAAATCCCAGACTCAAAAGAAGAATGATCATAAATCTAGTCATAAGAGAATTCCTGATAATGTTTCCAAAAGTATTCAAATAAAAAAAGAAGAAGAAGTAGAAAAAAATAAAGAAAAGGAAGGGGACAGTTTATTAGATTTATTGGAATTAGAAATGCGAGCAAGAGCAATACGAGCTTTAATAAGGAAAGAGGAAGATATAATACCAAATTCTGCTAAATCTGCCGAAGGGAATAGTACTGAAAATACTAGCAATAAAAGTGATCATGATGAACAAAAAGAAAAAGAAAACTGTCGAAGACAATTGGAAAGGATTATTGGTGCTCAACAAAGTAGTAATGTTGAAGATGAAGATGTAGTATTAGTTGTTCAACCAACGCCTACTATTGAGTTATTGTCCAGTGAGAGTGAAGGAGAAGCACATAGTGGAATACGTGTAAATAAAAAATTTCAGAATGAACGTGTTGTACAGACCAAAGAAAAAGTTGGTCATATTAAGAATGTGGAGGCAAATAATACACATAACGTGAATAGTACAGATAATTCTAAGGAAAGTGAAGTTACGAATAATGTCTCAGAAACACATAAGAACGAAGTTTCTAAGCTGGTTCACAGCAATAATTTAACCAATAGTGATACACAATCAGAATCTGGTGAAAAAAAGAAAAAAATTAAGAAAAAATCACACTCAAAAGTGCAACAGAAAAGTGCAAGCTCTAAAACAGAAATCCATAAAGTAAAAACTGAAAATCGACATAAAAGGAGTGTGAAGCATGATGACTCTATTAATGAAAATATAAAATTAAATGGAAATGAATGTAACTATCGTAATAAGTCAAAGATACCTTACAAATCGGTATCAGAAAATAAAAATTCTGTAGACACGTTGAGTACATTGAAGAAATCGAACGTAGATGAGGAGAAGTCTAGTGACTTAGATGAAATAATCGATTTAGACAATTACTGCGATGATATGGATGATATAGTGAATAGTGAGCATGACCAAAATAAGGGTAAGAAAGTTACAAAGAGCGAAAAGGGTAAATCTGAAACAGAAACGTCCTCTGCACAAAAGTCAAATGGAGCTGAAACTTGGGCAAGTCGATATTACCAAACAGACGATGTCCAAAATGTGATAAAAGAGTCTAAAATACAGTCAGAAATTCGTAAACGGTTAAGAGAACGTCAAAGACTTTCTAAACTTACTGCATCTCCGAATAAAATTTCTCCATTGTCGTCACCTGTACCAGAAACTGTAAATAAGCAAATTCCAGAGAAAGACCCACTAGGTTCTGTGGATGAATATTTAGCTTTAAAGCAAACTGCCGCTGCATGCCTTAGTATGGGTACTAGTAGTAGTAATAGTAGTAGCAGTAGTAGTAGTAGTAGTACTAGTAGTAGTAGTAGTAGTAGTAGTAGTAGTAGTAGTAGTAGTAGTAGTAGTAGTAGTAATGATTCTAATGTTGTAAATGTTAACGATGCATCTGCCAATAACTGCACTGATACAGGGGCAGTAATTGCAAGTGATCAAATACCAGTTCTACATCCTCATGAACAAAACGATGAGAAAATAATTATTTTTAATACGAAAAATGAAAAAGTCGTTAATGTAGCTATAGATACCAATCCTGGTTAATGTAATTTGTACATAATAAACATAAATATACTTTTGAAATTTAAGATCGTTTGTAGGTGATTGATTATACTACAGTAAATACTGTTTTCCATCAGTCTCGATGCAAAGTAAATCTTGTACAGCAATTCTATTCTCCAAAGTCGGCATCTATAACCAACATTTCCTTCTATTTTACAATGAAATATTTTCTTTTCTATACTTTGGAAGGAAAAAAATCTTCAACAATACGTCAAGCGCTGAACAACGTGTGTATGATGGGCACACTGATCACTATATTGAAAAACATGATAGCACAAATCTATTTCTCTATTACAAACTATAGCCTGAATTTCAAAATTTGATTACAAGATCACAGAAGATTGTATTTTTTAGAGTTCTGCTACAAGCAGAGTTTCGACATTACATTGATACTATAAAGTAATAGTAATTTATAGCTAATAATGATATAAGAAACAATTTTTAGCTTTAATTCACTTTTACAGTTTAATGTGTAAATTTCATTATCGCTTTGTAATCAGCAATTCTAAAATAAAGAGAACAAACTGGAGCAGGTCTACATTTTACGAGATGGGCTGTATAGTATACATTCTTGAAATTAGTGACTCCAACGTTGCGACCTTTTTTTCCACATTTATTTCGTTATCGATTTCTACATTGATTTTGTATTAATTGTACAATGTATTGATTACACATGCGGAGAATTAATGATTAAATTCTCAAATTGTCGCGTCCTGACGATTCGACTGCATAGTGGATATTGCTCTCTATTCTAAAAATAAAACGTTTATTTTAATGCAAGGCGACTGCTTCACGGAAGTAAATGTCGAGCACCGAGCCAACACGCGTACACCGCGCCGTGTACTTATTGTAACGCATAAATGATCCTGCACGACCTAGGAAATGCAGAAACTGGTACGCACGTAGTCTCATTGACTCGGTCGCCGCGTTGTATGTCTCTCTGAATGCTGCGCATGGCGTTACGACACCGCCGGAAAGATTTTTCAAAACCTCGCGACGACGACGGTCTTGGCACGGGGGGGACTTTCGATCGCGATGGGTGGTTCCGGTGCCGTGGAACTTGGAAAGTTTCTCCGCGACGATGCAAATAAGAGGTACAAAAGGGTGGGAGAGACCGGCAACTTCGCGGAGGAAGTAGAAAGGTCGATAGTGCTCTGCATCATGCGAGACAGATTGTTGACGAGGTTCGAGCGGAATTTAAATGAGTAATCCTTCGCCGCGTTGCGCAATACCAGGAATTTCTAGGTGGTCTACTTCCGATGAACGTTACGATTTGCAATTCCGCAACACGGGTAAACCAGTTAACACACTGATAAATATAAACGTCACTCGCTGCACTCTTTTTCACAAAAATATCTCGGATTGGACTCGCGTAATATAAAAAACAACTTAATCCTTGCGTGGACACCCGGGTGTGCGGGTACTCATTTCTATTCCATTGGACACTTATTCTATGTCTATTTACGTTTTCAAAATAAAAGTTTTACATATTGAAGCTTCAATCTTATTTATACACTTGTTGAATAAGCCGGGTACACGTGTGCTCATATAGCACAAGTTATAGTTGGATGAATTATAAACGGAAGCTGTATAATGAAACTATACAAGACACAAAATTTTTAATTAATACCCTTTACTTATTAACCCAACTAATATAAAATACACTTAAGGTACCTGGGTATTTCGCTTACTCGACACCCGTGAACATTTTCGTTCCTCACACAAGGGTTAACATAATGAGTCCACAAATTTTACGATTAATACGGTAATTAAGCACTTTCAAAGTACTCCTTTACTCTAAAAATCCAGTAATTTACTCGACGACTTAAACTTCAAGTCGATTGAATGTTATTTAAAATTTCACTATTTAGAACATGTATTTAGCGACACGTCGTCGTACGTTCTACTTAGTTTACATCGGTTTCTCAGTTGTCTGGCTGTAATTATATCAGCGCCACGTCCGCAAAGCAATAGCGAGCTCGGAGCTTACAAGTAAAACGCAAACGAGAAGCGCATCGACGTTGGCAGTACCAATATTAACGTAACGTTGACGATCATTCCTCGAGCAAACAAGCTCGTCTATCGACGTACGTGACGGATCGCGTAGAACGAAGGATTCTATAGGTACTTCTTTTACGTAGCCGCGACGTGTCATGCGCCTCAACCCCATCCACGAATCTGTACGAATTTTTGTGAGTCCCCCGCGAATAAAGGGAGACCGACTGGAATGACTTTGTGTTTCGCGTGACTTTGTCTCGTCTATCCGAACACGATATTGAATCTTTAGCGTTTGCCTTCCCCGGGAACGCGTTTACATCCGTTGTTTACAGATGCCACGCGAAATTTCATTCCCCGCGAGACGCGGGTACTCTATTTGTTCGGTTTTGTTGACGCATCCACGAAGTTTACGCGTTTACACGAGGAGTGAAAGGGAACACGAATGCGTAAATTCAGAGTGTGAATGCACAATAATAGCATTTCGTCATCGCTTAGAAAAAAAAAAAAAAGGAGGGTTTATGGGGAATTAAAAGTAGGCACGGTTCTTCATGCGTGCCGTAAGTTCCAGTTTCTAACACGTAATCGCATTCCTCCCCGTTAGGTTTATCACTTCAAACGATGCACCGTTTAGCGATAACGATCGGTAGTCATACTTGCGGTTCTTCGCACTATTCCGCTCGAAACAAGCGTTATACATGTACCTTGCGTCGAAACATTTCCTTTCGGCCATCACTTTCGAATTCGTTCGGGGCATGCTCTTATTATTTTTTTTTTATTGTGATTTCTCTAACGGATTGCGGTTGAACAAACGTTTCATGTTAGACACAGCAAAAAAAGCCTGGTTGTACATTGATCAGCGTATAATTTGTTACGCGATTTCACGTGAGCTGGGCAAAAAACGTTTTGTAGTAACGGTAACAGATGAAAAAGAAATATGTTCAGAAAAAAATTAATTACTTCGCATACATTACCCGCGAAATCGTGAGTATTAATGAAATTCTCAGGTGTTCTATAATTGAATACGTCGGATGGCACGTGAGGCGAAAAGAACACGCGAGGTTTGTTTCTAGGATAGCGTAAATAGCGGAAATAATAACACCACCGGAGATTTCGCGATAGCATTGCGCTGCAATCGACGCGTATAGTGGGAAGCCGCCTGACGTAACGCGGCGGATTTCCACGTACGTGTATCGGGGTAAAAAAAGAAAAGATGAAAAGAAAAAGTTGGTGCGAACGTGAAAGGACCTCCTCCACTAGTCCCTTTCGAGACACTCGACGAAAGGCACAATGGTGATTGATGCAAGCGCCAAGTCACGATTCTTTAAATTGTAAAACGAAATACACGCGCTCCAGATTGCGTTGCGTAACCATCGCCAGACGCGTCTGCATCGAGGTGCAGCGGCTCTCCGATTTCTCGGAAACGTCTCAGCTGTACGCTTTCGCACAAATTTCTGGGGAACGAGGAAGCGTAGAAATTGCTGTCCATAGATGGTAGATAAATTTATCTTTCCCTTATGATCATTAGGGGACAATTAGGCTGGAATGATGAAAATAAAAACAGCATATATCAAAACTTTAACAGCAAACATACCGACGAATAAATTTCTAATGGCAATTTAATAAATAGGCATTTATGAGCCTTGGGAGATCGAAGGGTTGCATAAGGAATTGTTTGTCGGAAGCGTTAGTCAACGTCAATGATAGCTTTCTAAAAGTTATTTATGAGCAACCTTTGGCTGTATTTCTCGAGAGGTTGATATTTTTTTTTCAGAGACGATTTGATTAAGGCACAAACAAAAGCAACAGGCCGGGGAAACAATGCATTTGCGGGAAGCAACGTTTACGTCACAATTGACGGAAACGAACTCGCTGGTATGCAATTGACATACTCGATCGTACGTACTATAAGAGGGGGAACATTGTATTTGCATCGTTCCCCTTTATACCCGAACACCATCCGTATGCGGTCCGCGACTGATCGAAGAAATCTCTCTCCCTCTTACGCGAAACTTCCTAGACCATTAAATATGATTACCTGGCTTGCAGCATGTTAAATAACGGGATTTGCTAACCAACCGACCGCGTGCCTCGGCCTGTACGAAAGCATCGGTTAGCACGCCTTAAAAACTCGCCTGGTCTCTAAGAGATAAACCTGGTTAATGGTTATTTCTTAACGACCTGGTGAGTATTAAACGGCAGAGAACCCTTGTTTCGTCGCAGATTATAAGCTACTCGTTTTAAAAAGGTATATATAAGATCAACGTTCCCTCAGTTTATGCTCCATTCTGTAGAGTGTAGAAGATGCAATCTTCTCAGTCAATAGTTTGGCTATTCGGATGACGAGATGTGTCCATGCAATCTTTCCGGTGCAAAACAAATTTCGTCAATTAAACACGGTTAAACGCTATATTATCGGTATTATCAGTTTTCTATAATCGGTAATTCCTTCACTGATCTAGATCGATGATTCGCTTAGGTAAGCACGATATCTGATATAATTTAGGGATTAATGGACGACGACGTGAAACGCGATTGTGCCGCATCGATTCAGTTTCCCTTGATCCCTGGACAAGGTCGATAGACCGGATATCTGCGGAGAGTATTTCGTCGACGGTAGGAAATTGTCGTGAGCGAATCAATTTCGTTTCTGGTAAATTCGCTGAAAGAAGCGAACCACACAGTCGTCTATACCTATGGATACGCCTCCGTAACTCCACAAGCTGCGTACATACGTAACCGTTCAAGTGTTGCGTATTCCCGACGTCTGCGGAACCCACTCTCCTAGATTTTAAAGTCCGTTTATTCGTTCCGGAGTCACTTTCAGTTTCTACCTTGTATCAAGATTAGCGCCGCGGCTGCGAGCTACTACGCGTGCATGCGGAAATGAAACCAGACTACGGGGAAAAGAGTACTTGCTTCGCGGTTGCATGGAATTGCAATTTTAATTCGCGGAGATAGGGGACGATAAAATTGCGCGTGAAAAGTAAATGTTTCTTCACCTACGGGAAAATATCGCGGACAAACGAAATTAAGTGAACCGACCACTAACGTTTACAACTATATTTCCAGAATTTAGAAATATAATATCTTTGTAGAAATGTTTCGTAGAAAATAAGTAAGGGGCATAGGATATATCGATGATATTGGAATTGCTCAGAGATTGGTAAACGCGATCGTCCTTATATTTATACAGATTGACGGCATGTCAACGGTTTCCTCATTTTTCACTTGCCGATCTATAATTTGTACACGGCAGCGTTTATCTCAATCACCGGTACAAACGATACACACGGTCTTTTTTTCCTAACACTTCACTTACGATAGAACAGGTGTATCTCCTAACGTAATATTAATCGGTGAAAGTTTCCGCGGCGATTCCTGTCGATCGCGTAACCGCTAACACGGTTTCCTTCCTTTCGAGCAATCCCCTGCTCCCGCAATTACGTAATCGGCGTGTTATGTATAAAAAAATATCGCTTTATTTATTTGTAAAAAAATATATTATTATTATACAATACAATTCGAGGTTGGGATCACGATGAATACAATGTTGGTGTGCATTCGACCGTCGTCTACTACAATCAAAATGTTCATTGTCTTGAAGGACATTTTCGTTTGACCGGCCGACGTCTCGTGAGCACGGGGCTTCACAAAACTAGGATGTTATATATGTCTCGTGGCAATCATTGGACAAGACACAACGAAGGTCAAAGACTTCCAACCTCTACGAGGCAAAAGCCTTTGCTTCAGTAATGTTCGTAACCGCCGAGATCATGACCGCCTAAATCTCCGAATCCACCTCCGTATCCACCTCCGTATCCACCTTCAAGACCACCACCAAATCCACCGCCATGGCCGTGTTCCTTGACAAGGATTGGTACAGCCTCCTTCACGACCACGGGCACTTTAACGGGATAGGGCACTGGTTTCGACACCGTGTACGGCACCTTGATAGGCACCTTGACCGGGTAAGGCACCTTTACGGGCACCTTGACAGGAACCTTGACAGGGTAGGGTACCTGCTTCTCGACTGTATAAGGTATGTGCTTTTCGACAGTTACTGGGTAAGGCTGTGGTACATGGACCGGGTACGGTCTATCGACCGGTACCTTAACCGGTACTTTGACAGGGTAGGGCACGTGTTTTGGGACCTCGACTGGATACGGTTCCGGCACATGGACTGTCTTCGTGACCGTGATCGCCTTGATGTGGTCCGCGGATATTGTCTCACCGCCGCCATAGCCGCCTCCGAGACCACCTCCCAGACCACCTCCCAGACCACCTCCCAAATCTCCTCCGTAGCCGCCTCCATAACCTCCACCGAAACCGTGATCACCCAGGCTCAGTTCCAGGCCACGTTTCGTTTTCGCTTCATTTGGTTGGACCTTCGACTCTGCGCTCTTTTTCGCCTCTTCTGCCGCTACGGACAGTACCAGGCCGCAGAAGAGTAAGATCTAGAATGAATAAATCGTGATGCGTGTTAATCTCTCCGGTTAATCAACTCTTCGCGATGATTCGTCGACTAATGAGAAGTTAGCGACAATTTTTAGAATAGTGGTCTGTTATAAAGGTCGAGTCAAAGAATGATCGCGACTTATATGACAAGTCTATCTAAGTCCCTCGAGCGAGGAATTCACCGGATTTGTCAAGTGTATACTTCAAACGGTTTTGTCGATTGTATTTAGAACGATAACGCGTTAGAATTTTCGCTGGTTAGACCAGAGGTTCTGTCCGCGTAGCTCGAGCCCCGAGAGACGGGCATTCAAGTGGGCTGTCTTACTGGTGCTACTCACTTTCAGCTTCTCTGTGCTGTTCATGTTGGTCGACAGTGAGCACACTGATTCCTCGATGGTCTACCCCACGCTTTTATAGGGGACGCAACGGCCAGTCCAGGCGGGCAACTCGAGCGTGCCGTTGAAATCGTTGCGGAGTAGGAAGTTAAGAGAAGGAAAGGAAGAGAACGACGTCACGGGCGACGCTTTCCTCCGTCGGCTTTTGTCAGCCAAACATTCAGCAAGCTGTATTCGTGTTTCGTTCAATTTCTTCTTTAATGCTGTTCCAAGCTTCCGAAGCTGCATCGAGCTTCAAACGGTCCCGGAAAATCCCGTAAGACCTTTCCCTGTCGTTTGACACTTAATTATCTTTTCGAAGTACGAACGTGTTTGAAGGTTTCACGTTCTTCTTGAAATAATGCGAATAGTCGTGCGACGAATAGAGGACGAAAATGGAAACGAAAATGTTGTAATTCCGTTTCGATTTATCGGGTTGCACTTGTCGAGAATTATGCGTCGATCGCCTTCGAAACTTTCTCGTTACTTATCACGTTCGCGGAGTCGCCAAGTTTTCAATTACGAGATGAACCGCCGAAGCGAACTGACGGAACTAATGCGGATTCAACTCCACCGCCTCTTTTTAATCCGATTAGTGTTCACAATACGTTCCTACATCTCTGTACTCGCATCTCTTCGGGAGCTTCATTAATATTAAGAGCTTAATTAAAACGTGAAGCGAACTGTTAGGACTTCTCCGAGGCATTGAAGTTACATTAAGCTGGGTATCTTTGCACCTTCTTTGCGACATACTACAGATAGAATAACTTCCTCTTTCCACCAATCGGAATCTGTCTATGTACGCGAGTTTAACTCTGCCTTCCGTTCTCGAACTTTTTGAATCGAAATAAAACGTTCCTTACCTCCAGACCTCATGTTAAATTCAGTTAGTATCCTTTAATGATTTCCCCGGTACGAGGCAGATATAACGTTCGCGAAACGGACTTCGCGGACGATCGTCAATTTATAACGACAAAGACGATCACGGGAAATAAAACGAAACCTACCTATATTCTCTAAGGAAAAAGCCAATGGAATTCCCCGGTGGAACAGTTATACACCCAGTCGATATCAACGTTGGCCGGTTTCGTTCGAGCGCTATTCGCGGTTCATTCGCGGCCCGTGGCTTCCTGGCTCGCAACGATTTTTGGGTTATCAACTCCGGGGGCCTTCCCAGGGGCGCAGTTAATCTCGGAATGACTTTGTACCTTGATCTCGCCTGTTGGAAGGTATTAGAATATCCTGGCGTATCCGTGGTTTATCAGGCTTATCGAGCGGGAATACATTTCCATATATCTGAATTTGAATCTCCATATTTGAAGCTGAAAATATTGATTTGACTCCTAGCCATCGGCTCTGAGGTTAGGTGTACATATTCCGAACGAACCGGAATCGGGGCTTTCGATTGGCTTCGAGCGGGTCTGATCGAGTACAGAACGAAAACCGCGAGGAAGATGTTTGTCGATAGTTTCTATCTATCGCCTTTTCAGCAAGATTAAATTATTTTCGATGAATGTATAGATATTTCGACAGAGAGGAGGTCGTGCACACTTTGGACTGGCACGCGATTTCCGTATGATGACAGAAGTTGCCGATTGGACCACAAAAACATGCCGCGTTTCCAACGAATACGGTTCGGATCGTTTTGGAATGGAAAAGAATTTGGAACGTTGTGTTGAAACGTTGGAGGGGCGAAGAAAAAAAGAAACTTCTGTATCGAGAAACGTAATGACGCGTATTAATTGGATAAAATGTCGCTCACGGGTAACCTGGTAATTACGCGCACCCCCGTGACGGGAATCTATTTGTTTGTGGACGCAGCAGTTTCATTCATTGAATTTGAAGCTAATAACACGCATCGACGCCACCACGTGGCCAATTTTGCTGCGACTAATTGTAATTCCGCGCCAACGGTAATCTATTCTGTGCAACTATTATGTCACATATTCGTTACGCCCCTCGAGGTAATTAAAACACGCGAACTGTACTATGAGATCCGTAAAATATGTGATCCATACGATCTTATGCCACTCCCGCTGTTATGGCCCATGTCTTAAGTCGAAAAATATTCCAGATTTCTCTTGATCTTTCTTATTCTTTTTTTTTTTTTTAACAACGGGCTGTTGGTCGAATGGTGCTACGAGGATCGATCTACAATTCCGATTAACGGGTTATTTGTTCGTGAATGTCTCTATTGAGAAATCGTTTTACGTGATATCTGTTCCCGTGAAATCTTTCGTTTTCGATTCCGAGCGACTTTATGGATATTACGTAGACACGCGGAACTTTGTTAAGTGTTCGGGATTGTGTTACATGTGGGATGTATTTAATACCATTTTCGTCCGCATTGTTTCTACACTTCGTGCTTCCTAGTAATCCACGACCATTTATAATACTTCACTTATGTAATTGTTCTCGTATTGAATTTCCTACTATCGATACGCCGGGAGGATTTTTATAGGCGCTCGAATCGTTCTGTAATAGTAGCGTTTCCATTGGAAATCGTATACAGGGTGTTAAAAAAAGGTATCTATGACTCTTGGTGCTTATCGGGCTCACTGAGTGGAGGAAAAAGTGTCTAAATAATATAGGTCCTAAAATCTAATCTCTTCGATGTACAAATAGTACAAAACATTATTTTCACATTTTTTTTTACAGGTGTTCTATGTGTCTTCCTTCCATTTCAATACGAAATTCACACCTGCGAATCAGAGATCAACGCACATTTTCAATTATTCCTTCCGTATCTCGTATTGTCTATTGTCATACAACCTTGAATCAATGTATTTCTAAACAAATTTTTTCGCTTACATTTGATAAGCTGCAAAGTGACTGACTTACGATCTGGAACGCTCGTACATATGGAAGTTGACTATATATCGAAAGGATTACTTTTACGATCTACGTTGATTGAATATTTTTTACTTTTCCCGGTGAGTATTACAAGTCCCTCGAACTTTTTTTAAACATCCTGTATATCCGTTTCTCGTTCGATTTCAATTACATCGCGACCGTTTCCAAAAGGAAGCTGCAGCGAACGGTGATTTCTTTTCGGTTGAATTTAAACAAAATCGAATGCTTCGATGTTAGTATTCGAGCGCGACAGTTACGGAAATGCAGCCTAAGAGCACGAGGTAAATCCTCGTGGTCGACGAGCGTGCAGGCAGACGGTACGAGCGGAATTTTCGCAAAGTCTGCATTGCTGCTTCACCGACCGCAAACGTAACCTTATGCAATAATGGGAAAGGCTTTCGAGTCGGCCGGGCTGTGGCTCTCATGAATATATGGATGGATGTTCTCGCTGAAGGTGTTTATCAAGCCGTTTTCTAGTTACGCCCTTTCCCTTTTCCGCCCTTTTCACGCCCTCCTCCCTCCTTTACCCCGAGCAAATATAATTCACGCGCTAGGGTGACGTCCACGAAGGATCAGAAAAGAAGTTTGATCGTTTCCATTTCATTTCTGTCCTATTGCCATCTTGCTATTCCGATTTGTTATCCATGCGAACGATTACTTGTTATTCTAATAACATCAATATTTTCTTGACAATTATCAAGAGGTGACTTTGGTGAAATTTTGGTTAGAAATTAAGGCGATCGAATGGATTGATTACTTGCTCTTCTATTCGAAATTAATTGTGCTTTTTTGTAGGTGTAAGTACAAGTACTCGTACGTATCTCCGGGTTAATATTTATGATTCTTTGTGAAGCAAGTAACGAGCGAAGATAAATGTTTATTGCCGTGGAAAATGCATTCTTTCTCGCGTGATAGTCTCGCTAATACCACATGCCGATCGTTGTAACGAAAGCGGTTCCTGGTTAGAACCGCATCGCATTAATTTTGTGGATACGTTGGTATAAACATTGGCTACTGTGGCGCCGAGTGAGAGTCAACGTTTAATGTCAAAGTATCTGTAAAATGATTATGCAACCTGGTCCTGATAAAAAGTTTATGCACGCCAGGGCATCGCCGGAAATTATCGATGCGCGTCCCCAAGGTAGCTTCGTTATTCATTAGTAACACACACATGGTCAAACGATGCGTCGACACGGCGGCCGGGGCGATATTTTTCGTTTCATAATTCAAACTGTACCCTTGCCACGGGGATTATAATATTCTCGCATTTTGCCGTTTGGTCCAATCTGCGCGCGGTACGAATTGATTATTACCGTACTTAAATGCGCGGCACCAAAACTGTAATTTACGACACGAAAGTAACGTGTTTCACGACTGGTTACAGACCGGTAGGCAACTTTTTCATGTACGAGTCATCTGCCGCATAAACGTGTTTTTAATCCTTTTCATATCGCAATAAACAGTAGGTGATAATGAAATTATTAGTAAAACATCTGAAATCTAATGAAATAAACACGTATTTAATTAAAAGTCATAAACCGTGTTATCAACGTTCTTTTGTTCAGCCATACTCTTTCACACAATAGATATATCCTTAGTGTATCTTCTCAATATATAAAAATATTAAGAGGATTATTACATAATGAATATATTTCTAGTAGAATTATCAGTCACAATCCGGCGATATATTATCTCACTTCCTCTTTTTTTTTTTAAGCGCAATACAGTATTCGTAACCGTAAACAACCGGGATTAGAAACGTGGGACGGTGATTATAGCCACCGCCTCGGCGACAATGCTGTCGCCCACCGTGACGTCTAACTATTTCCTCGGCGTATCACGGTCCTATCTTTTAATTAACCGAGTATCGAGCATAATGCCGGGAGTCAGTCAATTAAATTCATAGCTCGTGCGTGCGTGTCCGAAGACAAGAGGAGAAAGTTAACGTACCGTATCCCTTCGCGACTCGGTGCCGTCTACGATTTTGCCACTTAATAATTACAAATGTCCATCGAACAGGACGAAAAGCTGGCGTCGTTTCCTAATTAATCGCCGGCTGGCTTGATATGCGAAAACGTGGTTTCGCGCGCCCGCGCGCACATGTGAGCTCCATTCTCTTCCATGGGATAATGACCCGTTGATTTTCACCGGCTCGTGTTACGTATGATACACGTTACCAAAAACTTTCCTGTCGTACAGGTACTTTTGATCGCGTAATGGGCGGCGAACGGTTGCCCACCTGCATTACTCTGTATCGAGTTTTATAACTGTTCCAACGGTGAAAGAAGGAAAGTATCGGAGGATGCGTAACCAGCCATCGATCAATTTTGCTCTGATATTAAATTACCAATCGCAACTCCCGGGCACGGTCGCATACCGATCAAGTTACGGCGTCACACAGCCGTTACAACGGTTATATAATCGTATTCAATTATAAATAAAATTCACGTAAGCCCATGGTTTTCGCAAGAAACATTGTTCGCGGTTTTTCTAAAACTTACGTTTACATTCACTAACGATCTCAAGGTAACCATCAGTCGATCGACTTTGATCAATTTACCGTGGATGTTTTTGCAACCCATACATTTTTACGAGCTAATCTCGATAAAAAAAAAAAACACTGGAATCGGAGGAAAATTGTGTTCGTTTCGTTAAGAGTTCCAAATAAAATAAAACACTCGTATGTTTTTTTCAACCTCGTTACTAGCCGAGGTTTTAGACCGAATCGAGTATGCTACGGATACGTTAAAATCCGTAGTCTATCGTAATTCATATTATCGCCGGTAGCATCGAACCGAACGATTCAACGAACACACGAGAATTCGAACGATGCAGGGAACGTGGCTTCCTATTCGCAGCCACGATTACAAATTTCTTCCTTGGAGAGATCCGAAAAACATTACCCGCGATCGGAGCGGCGTTGCGTAACGACGCCGGGAGTTCTCGATCGGAATTATGTCCGGTACGGTTTTACGAGGCACGAGCGAGCGGGTGCCCTTTACCGAAGTGAAAGAAAAAGAAACGTCGAAGACGACTAGCCGCCGCCGATCATTGCACGCTAAATTGCCAAGCTCCTCCTCGCTTCGGCGAACGAAAGGGGGAGCGCGAAATTGAAAACATTTCGAACGTACAGGCGGGCGCCGTTACGCGTGCCTCCGATCCAGGGGAGATCCGGTAGTGATCAACCGAGGGGGGGCCCCCGGCTCGGTAGCCCGTGGGAAAACGGCTTAACGTCGAACGCCTTCGCCGAACGGTGTGTGGTGGTAGCACAATCGGTCCACTTTAATGCCGTCGGACAGTAGGATTTTCCGGGGAGTGGGCCAGTAGCGACGGCGAAAGTGCCGGTATATATGCCGGTGATTGGCGCGATGTTACTTCAGTGTGCACCTCCGAACGACACCATGAGCACTCCGCAGGTGAGCTCGCGGTCCCTGACGAAGACACACGATCCCTACCATTCAATAACATTGTTTGCGAATAGTCGAAGGGATAGGGTTTATGTAAGCTATTGGAGAAAGTTCGGTGATAATCGTAGACGGGTTACGTTAATGGTGATCTTATTTCTTTAAGGGATAGATTGTATCGCATTATACATCACGGACCATGGATCGTGATTCGTTTCGAATCGCGACTCCTTGATCCTATATACATTTATCGTTCGAGCTTTTCGTAGTTTTCCTTTCACCGTGCACTTTCTCTTGATAGTTTATCACTTACCACATATATTTCATACGAACAATCGCGAACACGTGTGTATCACGCGTAATACTGTAAGCATTCGTTAATAATGTTTCTTTATCTCTAGAAGCTTATATTACTCGCCCTGGTGGCGACGGCGGCCCTCGTCGCAGACGCGAAGGAAGCAAACGCTAAAGCGGCCGTTGAAACGAAAGAAAAGAGCAAACGAGGATTGGAGTTGAGCTTAGGAGGCGGCGGTTTCGACAGTTTCGGTGGCCATGGACTGAGTCTTGGCGGTGGACACGGTGGATTGAGTCTTGGAGGTGGACATGGAGGTTTGAGTCTTGGGGGAGGTCTGGGTGGAGGTCTTGGTGGAGGCCTTGGCGGAGGTCTAGGTGGAGGCGGAGGCGGCGGTGGCGGTGGTGACGGAGGCCGCATAACTGGTATCACGATACATCGGGAGAACCAAGTTCGTGTCCCGCAGCCGTACCCAGTCGAGAAACACATACCGGTACCGTACCCGGTCCAGGTCAAGATCCCCGTGGACCGTCCGATTCCGGTGCACGTACCGAAACCTTATCCAGTCCCAGTAGAGAAACACATACCCGTGCCAGTGGAGAAATCGGTCCCAGTGCCGTACAGCGTGCCCGTCAAAGTGCCCGTGAAGGTTCCTTTCCCGGTCAGCGTGCCAGTAAAGATACCGGTCGCGATCGAGAAGGAGGTTCCTTATCCAGTCAAGGTCCCGTACTTGGTTAAGGAGTCTTACCCCGTACTCGTTAGCAGTGGCCATGGAGGCGGCGGTCTTGGCGGCGGTTTGGGAGGAGGATACGGAGGCGGCTTCGGGGGAGGATACGGAGGTGGACACGAACTGTCCCTCGGCTACCACCATTGATTAGGATGAACCTCGTAGACACGGATTATCATCCATACTAATTATATTTTGTATATAATGATTATATTTTTTTATGGAAATACATTCTAAATTATTAAAATTGTGTTTGTATGTTTTGCGTTTAATACTGTATATTCGACGCGTATAAAGATCCTTAACACGTTCATTATTGAAACGTCTAGCGTGGTCCCCACGCGCACGTCCTTCGCAGCGATAATACGCTCAGTCGAAACATCCGTGCATCAAATGTGATGCACGGGACGTGGCAGGATCGAGCAGCATTCATGACATTTGATGCATGGGACAGTGAACGTGTTATGATTAAGTTGGCGGATGTAATATTCTTTTCTTGTTTCTCTTCTGTTGGTACTAGCAGCAAGCTGTAGATTCAATTTGGTCAAATGATTGCTAGAATCATTAGTTTCTAAATATTACACATAAGTATTGCAAGTCAGTATTTCTTGTACTCTTGGGAAAGTTGTTTAATATTATTCATATAGGAAACTGTAAAAATAGAATATCTTTTCGTTATTCTCCACTCGATAGGTCTCTTTGCGGAAGATCGGGTCAGCATGCGGATTGTGAATTAAATTATGATTCTCGTTTCCCACTTTCAGGCCTCGTTTGCTTCCACCCAGATCGTTAGCACTTGCTAGGTGTCATCGCCTTCTAATGAAGAACGATTGGAATACCTCTCAAATGCAGCTACACTTCCGCCCGATCTCTCGTTTCTCCTAACGATGGCTTCCCATTCAGCACAATATGAATTAAATATTGAATCTTCTTAAACGTCGCTGATTTTGTTGCACCAGTAAAATGTAAATTTTTACAACTCGATCATCGTGGTAAAGTCCATTAATCGTCGATCATCGCCTGCAGATTGTTCCATTAATCCGAATTCCATGACGCAATCGCGTGGAAATTAAAATCTATTAAAACGATCATAAATTGTTACGGCGAGGATGCACGGTTGTATCGCAATTTCACGTTCAGACGGGATTTCGTTCTTTCTCTCCGCGTGTTTCTATCGGAAGAACCCGTTGCTTTTAGTTTCTTCGACGCGTCTCGAGCGTCCAACTACTCCGACGCGAAATAAAGGAAAAATTCGAGGTATGTTTTTGCAGCAGACGGAACATGCAATCGTGGCACGGGGGCGTCGCGACGCCTTGTCACTTTGCCCGACGTCGTCGTCGCCGCGAGCATCCGGTGCTCTAAACGGCGCGATTTACTCTTACGGTTCGTTACCCGCGCGCGGAAGACCGATTTCTCGATACACGGTTAACCAGAAACTGTCTTACGTGAACAGAGAAACTGTGGCCCGACGTTACCACGGAGCGGAGTTATGCCTCGCGTGTTCCGGAAACAGGGTAAAGGTCAGAGAATTTTTCTTCGATATCTGTGTTCAAACCCTGTACCGTATTATTTAGACGTCTCTTTATAGGTGTCTCAAAAGGCCTTCGTCTTGTCGAGTTCGTGGAACATACCGGGTGTACGAATATCTCTGGCACATTTAGTCGAGAATTCTCAGCAGAAGAAGTCTTACACAAATTCTCTTGTACAATTATCATTATTGTTTATGTATTTTTCATTTAAAAATACTATTAAACTTTTATAGGCTATTTCATAGATTACTTCGAGATTGTAAGTCGAAAGGATCGTATGTGTCATAAGTCTAGCATTTTTCATCATTGAGATAAATTTTATTTCGGCTTATTATTAGTGTCGATGGGTCGTCAAAGGGTTCTTGACGGCGGATAGGTCGTCGAAAGGTCGTTGATGGTCGATGGATCAACCAAGGGTCGTCGACGGTCGATGGGTCGTCAATAATAGAATCGATGAAAGGGTAACGGTATGTGAGGTACGCAGTATTCACTTCACAAGGAATACATAATGTACAAAGACCTTATTACTAATCGGATCCTTCAGTCTACTTCGTTCCATCTTCTAAATATATAAGTATTCAGTCGAGATTAACATCAGTAAGCACACAAGATTCTTGTCAAGTTAAATAAATATTGCAGATCAAACTGTACCTCGTGATAAATTATGATCTAAGTAAATTAGGTTACGTTTAAGTCAAAGTTCGTTTGTGACATGATCAGATTTCTCGGCCTCTTTTTTATTACATAGATCCAGACAAAATTAAATTAAAAACACGATTCCTTTGTATATTGAGGACATGACACTCCTCCGAGTAGAATTGGTTCATACTTGGTTCCGTTCATCGTTTTGCAATTTGTATTGTCCGTTACAAATCTCTCGAGGAGTGAAAGTCCCCATTTCCATCGACCAATTCGTCGTGCAAACGTTCCTGCAAATCGAACGTCTACGGCGTTCCGAAAATGACTCGGTTAGTTGTGGTCTGCCGTGGCCATTAAGATCGGACTTTCGATCTTTTTTTCGGCCGGTTTTACGTATTCCGTAACAGTCTTACGTAGATTCATTCGTGTTAACGTCCCCGTTACACTCGATCTCGGACGTTCATCGGCGTTTCTCGTGATCGTAAGATCTCAAATCTCCCGTCGTCGCGATTTCGACCGTTGCAGGACCTTGTGTAACTCGCGAGCAATTTTCCGCGTCACGGCGCGGCGGCACAAATAAACGGTAGCAACGGATGCTGCAATCCAACTTTGACAAAGCTGCACAGGATACAAGTCGAGATGTATTTTCTGTGCAACGACGGTCTACTTTCGTTTCGTCTAATTCCCTGAAATTTAAAAATTCTTTTGATCTCGTAATGATAAGGATGTTTCTCTGGAATGAATGCTTTAATATATTTCCAGTGCAACGAGATTACGTTATCCAGATTTAGTTCTCTTGCGTTTTACTTAAATATGCGGCAGCCTCGTAACGTCCCTGTCGTTTCATACTGTACTTGAAATTTAAATTATAAGAAACACAAACGTAACGAAAAATTGTGTGTCGGATAATATAAAAATGACTCTTGTTAAATATGATTACCTACCAGATTTGAACGGTTTTTCTGTTTATAGGACCAACGTTTGCCGACTGTCTTGAATCCATCTTTACATCTCTTCTTTGAAAATGGCGGAACAACGTAAGGTAAGATACAACTGTGGAATATTGTTTGATCTGGAATCTTAATTAAACGTGGGGTAGATCAGACAGCATGCTTACACGAAGCGCGACTGTCTAATTAAGCAAAGAATCGCGTTGTTAAACACGTATCGCTCGGTTAATTAATACAGCGTCGACTCCCAAGGCATATACACATCAGGCTAGGATCTTCATTTTCAGCAATTTTAATTTTACCCACGCCTACATAAAAAAAAACGCGATCTTATGTCGCGATTTCTTTAAGCGAGTTCCGCGTTTCACCTGGTATCTGGCAACGTCGTAAATCAGAGGGCGAAATCCTTGAAAACTTCATCGAGTTTCGCACTGTGTCTTCCAAGTCCCGGAGTGTTCTACATTTTCAAACAGGCTGTTACGCATGCCCAAAGATGTATCTCTCGTTTCATCGGTGTACAACGTTCATGGAAGCTATATACATACACATACGTTTCGTCACAGAATCTGAGACGCGAAGGCTCGAATTGCCTGTCCATTGTTCACGAACTGTTACAATGGGTGTAGTAAAAGTAAATTCTACCGAATAGTTGAAACGTTTCATACTTTTCATCTACACTATCAGAAAATCGATAGCGGACCTGAGATTCACTTCTTTTTTGTTTCATCTGTGAATGCTCGTGATGGCACATAAACACCAGCCTGCTTTAGATTTCACCTTACCTTTCATAGCTAGCGAAGATTTTCAAACGAGCTGAACATTCTGAGTGATTCTCAAATTAGCAAAGTTCCTTCAAACGAAGGCCCCCTCGACCGTCGAGGCGTTTACCTGGCTGAAGCAGTTTGAAAGTTAGTGCGTCGTAGTCTTTTTTTTCTTCTCTTTTCACCGGGCGCGCAGCGGCCGTTTGTTGCGAACGTTAAGTTTCGCGGCAGTAGGCGCCCGCGATTTGCACTGCTTCTGCCTCGAATTGTCAAGAGAAAGGCAGAAAAACGGAGACAAAAGGGAGAAAAAAAGCACAAAAGCGAAAGGAACGTAAAGACCGATCGTTTCGGAATGAGAATCACGCACATTCGTTCGGCCGTCTATTTTTCCTTTCTATTCTTCCTTGTTCCTTGTCGCCGGGTAATGGGACACCCAGTGGAACCTTGCTGTAAACCTGGCACACCATAAACGGGTTTGTTTACATAACTATAATAGAGCAATTATTACGAGTCGAACGTTTCTTTGCTCTCCGATCTTCTTTCCTTTCTCTTTCGTCTCTCACGCTAACGTGTCAGATCGGTATCCGTCCACCTTTCTCTTCCTTCGCTTTTTTATACGCATCAATTTCGTGGAACGACATATCGATGTCCCGTTCCTGTTCTCACATTTGCGTGGGGCGCGACCGGTAAAATCAGCCTACGCCCGATAGTTATGCAGTTTCTCCGGAAATAGTTCACTATAGCGTACCGACAAACAGCGATGACGAGGCGAATATCGGTTCTCTCGTTCATCTGGTGCCGTCTGTTGTCTGTGTATCCAGGATCTACGGAGCTTGGGGTTTAGCGCTTGCGTAAATCATATGTTAAGCTTGGTTCGCAACTAAGGTTCGTGTTAACAGACACGTAATGTCCGATCGAGGCCGATTTCACGAGGGCCGGGTTACAGCTGCGGCGCCGGCTGCTGATATCTCGAGACACCGTTATCCGGGATCGATAATTAACGGAGAGTTTAGAATGGCTGATTTTAATCCGCTGATATTACACGTTCCGCGGGATTTGAATATAAGGGAACATTAAATGTTTCAAACTTATTATTATTCAGTATTCAGGAGGCAAATCCTTTATCATAGTTTGAGAGTATCCATTGTGATCCTTATATTAGGTCATTGTACATGAAATACTTTTATGAATGACAATTATTAATATAGCTCATTTCTTTATTGTAAAATTATATAGTCTACTCTACTCGTTTCGGGGCATTATCTAACATATCAGT